TAGAGATCCTTCCCTGCCCCCCCCCCATTATAATGTCTGATAGTCAACTTCCTGAGAGCAACTCCCTACGTCTGCTCGGTCTCATGCTGACTGCTGACCTGAGATGGAACAAATACATTGAGTCAATTGCTTCTTCCACCGCGAGGAAAGTTGGCTCTCTGTGCCGCGCCAGGAAATTTTTCTCCCCGGAATCGATACTTCAAATATACAAATCAACCATTCGCCCTTGCATGGAGTATTGCTGCCATATATGGGCTGGGGCACCTTCTGTTTACCTCGGAGTTCTTGACAAGATCCAGAGACGGATATGTAATCTAACTGGCCCTGATCTAGCGTCTCGTCTGCAGTCACTCTCTCACAGACGCGCCGTCGCCTCTCTCTGTCTTTTCTACAAATACTTTCATGGTAACTGCTCTGATGAGCTGCTTTCACTGGTTCCCAGACTCCATGAATTCAAGCGCCCTACGAGGCTGGCATCCCGCTCCCACCCTTACACCGTAGAAACTCTCAAATGTAGCCGTCTCTTCTACTCCAATAGCTTCATACCTCGCACCTCTCGCCAGTGGAACACCCTCCCCAGTTACTGCTTCCCTGAAGGCTATAATCTCCAACTATTCAAATGTAATGTCAATCGACCTCTCCAGTTACCTTGATCTATCCACTATCCTTCTCTCCATCCTTTCTCCTATCACTCCTATCTGCTCTCGCTCCAAATCTTCCGCACCCCACTGCATCCTAGTGGCTTCACGCCTTGCTTGGGGCGTAATGCTTAAAATATATATATATATATGTGTGTGTGTGTGTGTGTGTGTGTGTGTGTGTACATACATGTGTACATACATACATACATACATACATACTCGATCCACTTTCCCAACTCTAACCAAATAACAAAACGTTAGATTTTTATAGGGGAAGTGGTTATTTATCCTATTGAGAAATGTTCACTATCTCACTGATATATGCATATTTTTTTCCAATTTAGTTTTATTTTTTTCAAATATATTTTTACTTTATATTTTTTCCTCTTTGATATATATTTCCTTTCTGTCGTTTTACCACACTCACACCCAACACCTCACTTTTTCACTCCTCCTGATTATACTTTCTTTTCATAATGCTACAGTCGATATCTTTATTACTTCCCACTGAAATTCTTTTTGAGCATTTTTTTTATCTGTCCACCAATTTCATTTCTCCAAAAATTATTTTTTCAACTTCAAATCTTTTTTCCAATAGAATTCACAATTCAGAATAACTTTTGATATTATTATTATTACTATTATTATTATTATTCAAATCTATCATTCTTTGTAAAAGATTTCTCCACCATCTTTTGTGAGTGGTCGAGGTATCTCAAGTGATTCAGGTTGGGGATCACGTTCCGACATTTCGTCCGGTCCTTGCCAAAAACTCCAATCTTCTTACAAGTGGCGGTCAGTGCAGAAATGGTTACTAGCTTTTATGACGTAATCGGCTTTTGTCATGGGGCAAACAGCTATGCCAGAACGCTAGAAATAGTGACAGAAGGTTAGATAGAGGGAGACTTTGCCTAACAGGGTAAAAGACAATCGAGATCATATGCATGTGGCAGCAATAACTATGTATGTGGAAATATAAAAATAGTCGTGTGTTATTATTGGCGCGGAAAGCGAGATTGACGTTCCGTGTTCAAATTTCGGTCGAGACCTTTTTGCTTTCACTTTCACTTTCACTTTCACTTTCCCTACCTCCGTAATGAATTAAATAACAGATCATACAGCGCTGTGCACTTGGCTGAGGACCAGTTAAGAAGGACAACTTTGGATTCAAAACCGGTTGGGAATAAGCCTAACAACAACACTTCGTACAACGTACTTGTTACTGAAATTTCCTGAAGCTGTTTTGGGTATGGCATTTTGACAAGCAAGTCTACAGATTCAGTAAATAATATATGCAAATTTATCAATATCAATATTGATATATGCACTTGAGTAATACTAAGTTAATTAATACCCCAAAAATTTAAATTATCACGAAATCGTCTTTGAATTTCATTTTTTTTATTTAGTTAAAGCCAGTCGAACTCGCAGAAACTTAACATGATGCAGTAACAACTGCAGTTCAAGTAGAGCTTTAACGTTATGATGCATTTGTATTGTTTTGAATAGCAAACAACTAAAATAAAAATAAAAATTCAAACATTCGTTTTCCCGATTTCAAGTTTCGCATATGCAATCTGATGATGAGTGGCTTACATAATTCAGTTACCTTTTAATAGATATTATTTTGTACAAAATGCTGTTATATATATAAAAGTTACATTTTATGTTAATATATATATATATATATATATATATATATATATATATATATATATATATATATACAAAGAGAGAGATAAAGTAAATACATTGAATTTAGTCAGTTATGTGCCATACGTGATACACGCTTAGGCGATCATGTATCTTTCGATACATGACTGACGAGGCAGATTTTTCCGTTGCCATTTCTTTCTGCAGTAGACCAGTTGCCATCCAAGGCTACAGAACCCAGTCTGTCCTGCTATTTACCCATAGCTTTGAGAGAAGAAGAGAATTCATACCATTCCCAACTGCATTAGCACATAAGTGAATGTAATGGATTCGATTGGAATTCGAACTCGGCTCTCCGATTCCTCAATCCTAGCCGCTATAATCCACCATATTTCCTAATTTATATACAGAACTATGTTGGCATCCGCTCATTTCTATTATATTATGTGTTTGTTTCTCAATGCTAAACTTTCAAATATTTGCGTTATCCAACAATATTTATATATATATATATATATATATATATATATATATATATATATATATATATATATATATATATATAGGATTGATGTATACGGAATAAATTCCAATAACCAAAAATACTATTGATTAATAGTGTTCAATACAGAGTAGAGCAAATATAATTTATTTAAAAATTATAGCATAAACATGTTATAAAATCACTACAAAAATAGCCATTGTATTTCAACATCTCTGGTGTCTTATAAAAGATAAGATACCAGAAGAGGTGAAACAAAATGGCTAATTTTATAGATTTTTCTCTTTATTTATATATAAAATATATATATATATATATATATATATATATATATATATATATTAAAAAAAGAGAATTGCCGCAAACGTTTTTGGTTGTAATGTGGATTTATTGAAAAAAATATTATACTTTGTTTACATAATTTCAACATGTTTCTGGTCTGGTCTCGCAACCGTCTTCAGGTGAAAGTGGAATTTTTTACATATTATTAAAAATAATTAATTTTTCTTCATGTTCAATGTGGAATATTCTCGATATGAGACATTCTGTTTGTGTGTTGGCAATCCGAATTTTCTTTCTAAATTGTCAATGAAGAGTTCTGCGTGAAGGGTCATAAAACAATTAAGGTTTGTCCAGTGAAAGTTATCGGCATTTAATCTTTTAATGTTTTAGTCTATGTGATTTTTCTATTTTGGCATGTTCCTGTCAGCATGCGTGTATATATGTGTGCGTATATTTCCTTACTACGAGGAATTCGAAACTAAATTATATATATATATATATATATATATATATATATATACATATATTGTTATGGTCCACAGTTCCTTGTACCACGGATGATGGTCCAATGTTAGAACCAATGAAAGAATAACACATACGCAGGTATGGATACAAAGATATATTCCTACAACATAAATATAATAAAAGAAGTAGAAGTATTAGTAATGACTATCAGATTTGGTTAGCGTGAACTATGTTGTCTCGACAAGTATCACTTTTGCAATGTCCTTACAATATTTCTCTCAATTATATATATATATATATATATATATATATATATATATATATATATATATATTGTCTTCCTTGTAACACGCTGATGTCCTCAATGAAAGAATAACACATACGCAGGTTGAGAGGATATATTACAACAGAAATATAATACAAAGAAGAAGTATTTATAATATCAGATTTGAATATTTGTCCATTATTATTCTCAATTATCTCTCCTCGTCTTACAATCTCCTCATGTTTGAGAGGCCATTATTTATATGTCATAATAGTCCATTATATATATATATATATATATATATATATATATATATATATATATATATATATATATATATTTTGTATTTAGGCAGCAAATTCTTTTTCGGCATGTCTGACTGAATAAATTACAGACATTATGTCTGCTAATTTTTAATAAGATCCGTTCATGCTCACGAATAACCTTCCGTGTATTGATGTTAAAGGGTGCGAGAAATGTGCTATAGCTATTTAAATTTTTTTTAGTTTTATTTCACAAGTACTTTCGATCTTTTTCCAAGATCATCTTCAGGGCTGCAAATAAATGAAAAAGGCCGGAGCGTACAACTGCCGAAACGTTGTGATAAATATGGCAACAAAGACGAGGACAATAGTCGGAATAATGCTAATAGTGTATCAAAACTACTGTATTGAAAAGCTACATATGCAAGACGAGAACATTTTCTCAGTCTTTTGCATGTGTGTCTGAGAATATGATCAGTTTTGCTTTCTTCCAAGGGTTCGAGATCATGTTCAGGCACTTGTATAACATACCCTACCAGTTATATCCTGTAGAAGCACTCCCTCTCTCTTCCCACCTAATTTGGTTTAGTGTCTAAATATGCGTTGGATCCTATTATCTGTTTTCTGTTAGTGATAATTAGCCTTTTGTTTTTTTCTTGCTTTTATTTAGCGGCATATCTATCATTTGCAGTTTATTTAATGCCGAAATCTAAGTATTTTGTACACAATTTTATTTTTGGAAATAATAATGGTCTATTGGCACAAATTTTACTAATTAACCCATCTTGGGGAGAATAGGTGTTTTCATACTTTTGCTTTGCGTATTTTCGCGTAAAGGAATATAACGAACCCAACTGGAATTGAAACTCGGTTTTCCGATTAACAATTCTGAGCCATTAGACATTTACCACCTGCACATCCAAACTTAGAGCACCTGGTATTCCCAAGCGGTCACCCATCTAAGTACTGACGTTGCTTAACTTTGGTGATCGTACGAGAACCGCTGTTTCAGCATGATGTGCCGTAATCCCAGTCTGGTCAATTTACGACACCTGATAAGATATAGTCATATAATGACGCATTCTGACCACGCACGTAATGTGTGTATATACATATATGCACACATGTGACAAGATGACCCCCACCTTGTCTATTTTTGCATGTTTTTTTTATTATATCGATAATACTGTATTGCGAGTCTTGTATGAATAATTGAAGAAGACTTACAAATGAAACAAGAAACAGAAAGGGTTAAATTGAAACGAACAAAAATAACAGGACAGAAAAGGAAGAAGTAGAACAAGTCAGAAGGTCTAGAAACGTCCTGGAAATTGTCTGGGGTCTCAGTCAAATATTTGGCGCAGTCCTGTAAAGTCGTTGCCACTGTCTTACACACAGGCGTTCAAGAATTTCTTTTATTTTTTTTTTATTTATACTATTTACATTGATCGGACTGTTGTCCTCATCTTTGTTGTCATATTCACGACATTTCGGCTTTTGTATACTACGTACTTCTTCAGGTGACTGGAATTTCACAACCCATTGGGTCATGTCACTAGATTACTTCAACCAATACTTTTATCTACTGGGCCACTTGCTTTCTTTTATTTGTGATGCTATATTTTTGTTGTAGCATACTGTTATGGGACCTTACCCATAATAACATAATGGACTATTCCATACGTAATAAATACTGCGCCTCAAGAGGAAGTTCTGTCCGATGTCGGGCGACCGGCTGATCGGTTGAACTCTCTACCTTCGGGTGGGGAGGAACCCGAAAGAGGCTACGCCGAAGGACGGAGTCTCTTTCGGGGAGGTAAACCGGATACGGATTCAAAGGGCATATTTTTGGCCGGGCCCACGGGCTCGGAGATCTCACGTTAAACCGGTCTTGTGCCACATAATGCCCTCGTTGGGGAGTGACTAAATACTGTTCAGTCTGAAGTCTGGAGTGAGGTCCGTCAGAAGTCCGTCAGGAGTCTGTCAGTCAGTCAGAGCGAGCGAGTCAGTCAGTCGAGTCAGAGGCAGTCCGAAACAGAGTCGCGTTCAGACAATTACTACTAAACCTGATTGTTCGTACTAACACTTTCTACTTCTCTGTATATATTCTTGTTTGTAATATATCTGTGTTATTCCATATCCGTGTTCGAGTTCTTCTTTATTATCCGTGGTACAAGGAACCAGACCATAATACATACCTACGGACGATAATGGGTATGACACCATTCACATAAATACAGTAGTAAATACTGTATGTTGGTATGCAGTTGGAGATTCATTGTGGAATTCAATTGAGTCAATTCTAGCAGTTGACTACTTCTTCTACGCGCCGTTGGTGAATCTTATATATATTGTTCTTTTCCTAAATATTATCGTTCATTACCAACCTTCGTTTGATTATATCAGTAACCTTGCCTAGGTTACAACAATTTTAAAGCAGAACGTTTCCCTGAAATCTTTGTATGCATGTTTAAGGTTGGTTATTTCATTTTATTAAAAAAAATAAATAAATTTGAAAGATATTTCTATATTCAAATCTTACTGCTTTTTTATTTATATGCCTGTGGTATCATTCGCACACCTCCATAACGTTATTAGATTGCTTGGATCATTGAGCTAAACATTTAAGTGATATATTCATAAGTTATCCGGAAATAGATGCATTAAAATGCAGGCGTGACTTGAATCCTGTCCTGATATAAATTTCACGAAAATGTCGACATCTAAGGAGTCGACCTTTAATATTGTTTTTCACTTGGTTTCACCCTTATTTCTTCTTTTTGAAATCTAATTTTGAAAAAAAGTGTTTCCATAAATTGAATCAGTCAATTCGTCGGTCACATTAGAGTTTCTGATAGTGCTTTTTGTATGGAAGAACTGTTTGTAGTGTTTTTTGAAAATCCCAAGAGAAATTAGATCCAATTTGTTAAATTTTCTCATTCTCTATGGTTCTAAAAATGGATGCGGAGAATACCATAGACGGAACAGCGAAATTTTAAAGAAAATATGAACTACAAAGAAAATTGGTAATCGCTGTCAAAATGAGACAGCAGGAATTTCTAAAAAAAAAAAAACATAATAAGGAAACGATTCTTAGGATTCCTTTTTTTACGTGCTGTATTATTCCAGAACATGGCTCTCCGCAACTTCCTTTACTTTTCATTTCATTTACACAAGATCTTTAGATACGTTATTCGACGTTTCTATCTTTCTCTCGTGCCATAAATATATCCTGTAATTTTATCGACCCCTTGTGGAATCTATGCTAAGTCAACTTGCTGCATTTCGCAGTGCTAGACGGGAACATATACGACACTAAGCACCTTTGCCAAGATTTTTCCACGACATTATATATATATATATATATATATATATATATATATATATATATATATATATATATACAGATTAAATTCAGATCAATTCTGTGGACAAGACAGTATATATGGTATAAAAGGACAATTGTCATTTTATACCATATATATATATATATATATATAATATATATATACAAAATGCTCATGTATGGTCAACTTGACAATGGTCATCGAAACGTGGGTCGGCCTTTGCTTAGATACAGGGACAGGCTGAAGAGTAACCTCTTAGCTGCGAATATAAATCACACTACGTTTGAGAACATCGTAATTTATCGTAATGATTGGAAGTCTACATGCTACAATGGCATCAAGAACATGGCAGCATCAAACATTGCCAAGCTTCGTCAAACTAGGGAAAGCAATAAAATATCTGCTGCTGTTCCAGTCATATACTCCAAGAATCCACACTCTTGCACAATCTGTGGACTTCTTTGCAAATCACTGGCGGGACTGAAGTGTAACTTGCGACTCACACACAAGGTTAAATAAACAACGTTGTTGGAACCTCATACGTCGAAACCGACGGGAGAGTCCCTTATATATATATATATATATATATATATATATATATTTAATTTAAATAAACATAATTTTATGTTCATTTTTTTTTAAATATCCGGACCTAGGCTGCCTTTCGGCCAACGCATCATCAGGGACCAATCGTTGGCAACTTTTAACTCATTTAGATTGATAAGAGATAATACTGGAACACGCTTAAAATTACGAAATACGTAAAATTATGAAAATAAATAAATAAATTTACGATTAAAATACGTAAATAATGAAAAATAAAAAAAAATATTTGTGTGTGTATATATATATATATATATATATATATATATATATATATATATATATATATATATATTTTTAGGTGTATCAGCAAAATTGTCCAAATCCTGTAGCTGTACAATTATCAATCTCACAAAAACAAAACATTGAACCAATTGAGTTTTCTTAATTAGAGGTTTTCATATAAGACATTTAGCCATTTGCCGTAAGAATCACTCAAAAAAAACTTTTGAATTTTTCAGCTAGAAAGTGAATAGGTGAAAATCGATTTTGTGTCAGCCCCACCGTATCTTCCCAATTGAGCAATAGTGAGAGGAAAATTATCATTCAGGCCGTCAGTAATGGTATCAACATTCTTATTCTGGCTTCCGTCTTCAAAGTCCATTCAAGAACACATCTAGAGAATGGTGAATAAGTTTTAAAATGAGGGAGCAGTAATGAGGAAAACTGGATCAGGATGTCACAACTCCAAGAGGGATCATCATTTGAATTTAGAGCTGAATACAGTCTTGTTGTTCAAAGTAGATTCCAATGTGTTATAAAAACCTCGGAGAATTCCAGTAAGATATCTTTAAACAAGGGTTCAAATATTAATCTAACAATTGAACAATTTTGCTGTATGTATGTATGTATGTATTTTAATACATTTATTGTTTATACGTTATTTATATAGATACAAATATTTAAGTAAATGCTCTGTTTATAATAAACAGTATTAACAACATTTACCAACCTGAATGTCCGAGAAATTTTCATAGAAAAATGTGTCCTCCGACATTCAAGCCGGTAAATATTGTTAATATTGTTTTATTCGTAATATTTGCCCCTAGCTGGGACCCTAACATGTGTTACCACCTCAGGTCAGAGTGAACCTTGGATCAGCAGCAATTAAAACGTGGTTTCACTCTCCTTAAAAACTCCAATCTCCCGATCAGATGCCTTAGAGCACATTGGGATGCGCTGAAAAGGAATATTCAAGTCCTCAATGCGCAGCTGGCTAATCTAGAATAATTTTAGCATGCCGTAATAATACCATAGGCCCACATCTCCTCGAATGTTAAGTTGAATTGACACGGTTCTAAATGCGGTCGAGAAGAATATATATAATAAATTCAGTGGTGAGTATCTACAAAGATAATAACCAGTCCAGATAATGCCAAAGTTGAATTTAAAGGAACCTTAAACTAATGAAATTTAATAAATAATTTAATTTCTAAGCAGTATTGAAAATGAAATTTACAGTTTCAAATTGAGTCTTCATCATGGCTCAAGCGTTGGTGGTTACGAAGACAACAAAGCCATTATTTAGTTACTGGCTAATTCTTCTTCTTAAACACAAAATCTATTCTTCAGATGAATATTTCACTTTGAAAACAAAACGGTTATTCTTCACGTTAAATCTATCTTTTCCGAAAGAGGCCTAACAGAAAAAAACTCACATAGTGAAAAGATTTTACACAGTTTCATGTCTTCGGGGATAAATTAATTATTGAAAATTATTTCCCATGAAGAACTGATGAAAAAAGAAACACTTAAACAAAATGGTGGTCAAAATATATTGATATGTTCCAGATTGATTATCGATCTGATGCCGTCGGCAAGATTCACACGATAATGTTTCCATGTATTTCATTGAGTTCTTGAAAATGTCTTTTTGTTTTTTGTTGTTTTTTTTTTTTTTTTACTTTCTCTCGCCTTCCATTTTCTAATTTTCTATACACGTGCTGAGATAGGAGAGTAAAATCGAAGTCTTGCTCGGAATTTGCGAAGAAATTCTACGATATTTTCTAATATAAGTTTCTCTTGAATGAAAGCGATTTTACATGCCTCATTTCGTGTATGTACAGTTTGATGACTTTGGAGTGTTCGTTTGATAAGTTTGATGAGGCGTTCTAAGTGTATAGGAAAAACCATTTTCGAAAATATTTGTTCTTGTAGTCATTAGGAGGGGACATAATCGATTTTCCATCGAATTGCTCTATTTACAAAAGAATAGGGAAAATTGCACAAAGGTTTTTTTGTTTTGTTTTTTTTTAACAATTCTTTCATTTTCTGTCATGTTAAATACATATTATAATAGTATTTACGCGGACAGGTGGCGGTTGATCGAAAACTAAAGTTGCCTACCATATGACTCCAGTAATATGAAACGGGATCAGATAATAATATCCCTTATATAAAGTTTTGCAATTAATCAGCCAAGGTCGACTCCACGATCGTTTCCTTAGCTGCATAGTATGTGCTTCGCTAGGGCTACATACAATTTTGAATTCAGAGTTTTCCTTCACCTAAATCCACGGCTGAACAGTTCAGTCTGCTCTACTGTTTAATCCATAGCTAAGAGGTTCACAAAAAGATGGATTGTTATCTTTCCAAAAGTTATTTGCGTATAAAAGAATGCAAAGAACGAATAATTTCGACCCGCCCTCAATGATTTTTTGTTTTACTTCTTTGCAAATCACTGGCAGGACTGAAGACCCGGTCGCACACCCCTCAATGAAACCATCTTATATATATATATATATATATATATATATATATATATATATATATATATATATATATATATATATATGTATATATATATATATTAATTTAAATAAACAGAATTTTATGTTCAAACCAGTATGGGTTAAATAACAGAGCAAACCAGTCTACCGGAGAAAGCAACTGCAACCGGCTGCGGAGAAATCTTCTGTCTCGCCCGTCATGAATCGAAAGATACATGATCGCTCAACAAACGTGCATCACGTATAGCACTTAACTGACTGACCGTCCAACTAAAAGAACACGACCAGTGATTAGTCAGATCAACAAAAAGTTAAGACAGTTAAATTATCAAGGCCGTGGGAGAAAGAGACCAACAAACACATCCTAAACAGGGATAGCGATAAATCTCTCTTGCCGTTCAATAAACATGAGAACAATACATGCTGGGGAAGGAGATCTACTGCTATAAATTCTAGCATTTATAAAGACTGGAATTCGAACTCACCTCTCCTATTTCTTAATCCGAGCCACTATCCGTCACAACAAACGCATATTTGGATGTGCGGGTCATATAATCACATATAATAAACCATTGTCTGGTTTTATTTCTTTGTCAGTTTTAGTAGAACAACTGAAGAGAGATTTCAACGGGGACAAATGAATGAATGAAAAAACAATGAGATTTCTTTTTCGAAGGGCTTCGTGATTTGGCAATAACTTTTCAGCACTGCCTTGTAGTGGAAAGCGAAATATGTTTGACCACGTATTCGATGGTATATAAAAACCTGTTTAAATGTGCATGGTTTCGCTGTGTTCCGTAATTTCGCTGTGTGATGGTATCGAATATTAGCGCTCGTTAGGCATGACTATTATTAGGTTGGTGCAAAAATAATGACGTAATAATGTCGCTTTTTTACGTACTTTTCTACGTCAAAAAACGACATTCTTACGTCATTATTTTTGCACCAACCTAATAAATTCGAGTTGCGCATAACTCTGCGATCAGTCACTAAAGAATGGCGATCCAGTCGAAATTCGCAGTCGTATGAAAGCCCAATATGAAACAAACCGTCTCTAAAATGGTACTGGAATGAAGAAGGTTTTTTTTTCTTTTATTTTCATATAAAGTCTTATTCCTATTCCTTATTCAAGGTCTTATTCCTGTCAAAAAGTAGACAAAATAAAAAGAAAACTCAGCTGTTCAGCACTTTCCGTCCAACACCAATTAAACAGCCACGTACTTATCACCCCAAGCAAGACAGTAAAGCTATTAAGACACAACGGGTTACATGGTGTGGAAAAATTAGGAGCAGAAAGATTAACAATAAGGGAAAACAGGAAAGAGTAATCAGGAGGACAGTGGATAGAGATTGATATTGCATTCAAATTCTTACAGATTAAAGTTGGCCGGAAAGCATGCAGTCGGAAGGGAGTTCTACAAACGAAAAAAAAAAAAAAAAAGAGAAGAAAAAGAAACTGTTAGTATCGAATTTACGGCTGCATTTAGCCAGCTCAACTGTAAATTGATGAGATCTCGACGCCAGTCTAGTTCAGCGCTTAAATTCAAAAGTCTAAGTTCCATCAGGAAAAGCTCATCCGAACAATTACCATAAAAGTATTTATAGAAAAGACAGACAAAGAAACAAACTTACGGTGACGGGAACGTGAGTGAAGCCGAGCCACCAGATCAGGGCCAATAATATTGCTGATTCTTCTTTGAATTTTATCAAGGAACTCAAGGTAAATAGCCGGAGCACTGGACTATATGTAGCAGCAATATTCTAAACATGGATGTATGTTTGTTCTCGTATTTGAAAGTGGTCTTAAATGGTCAACATATTTCATCCGGAAGATGAAGTTGCTGTTCCCTGTTGGATCATATGTAATCAAACAACTTTCTTAATTGATGAGAAGACGGAAAATTATAGAAGATTTAAGAATAATGCGTAATATGACTATTTGAAAAATCATCTGGTAACTTCGATGTGTCATTTAGTTTGTTTGACATAAACTTCATTATTCTATTTGACCGAGATAAAATATAGAACTGTATCCCTTTTTATCATAGCTTGAAAGTTAGAAAAGAAATAAATTTACTTTGTTTTGATAACAGTTTCATTATTTTGCCTTGTCCAGAACTTGTTTTATAGCAATGGGGACCCCTCACTTACCAATCAATCCTTTTAAAACACCAATTAAAAAAGAGGCATGTTCTAAGCTTTTAGAAATATTTCTAGATTGAGATTCGTCGCCGGCACCCATTCGTATCCGAGAATTGGGATTGTCATCATCTCTCCCTATTCCCTCGTCCCCACCCGCCCTTGTGGCGGTATTGGAGATGGTTTTGAATCAAATCGAGTTTGACGCATCCATTCGCGTGAATTTGTTTTTGGTGGACAGAGAAGCTCAAACATTTGGCCAGAAGCTCCTCCATCGCGTCTCAAAGGGGTCTGAGACGGACGAGATCTGACAAACATGGTCGCATCGGGCTGTCGGATGCTTGGTCTGTCAAGGTCCGCTTTGGTTACGCCATCCCGACTGATGCTGCTCTCTTCTGCGAGTTTAGCCGTCGAGATGGTGTAAATCTTTGCCTATACCGCCTTTGGGGTCTTCGGCTGCTAGTCGCGTTCAGTCAGGTCACTCCTGCTGAACTTTACTCCACATTGAGATTATTACTGCAATTTATGCATTTGTCCAGACCTTTCAGCAATGGCTGGCTACTCCTCCTCCAGAAAATAATTTGTTACTCTTTTAGTGTGTTTATTCTTATAATATAAACCCTTCATCGAACACATTTTCAAGCATTTCGTCCTAATGTAATTGCCATCTTACTTAGGGGCCAAGAAGTATACTTTATTGTAAATCAGGAATTCTTCCTATTTATTTATAATTCTTTTCTATCGGGGAATCAATCCTTGTTACCATAAACTGAGTGTTAAAATTCTTATAAATTCATTAGCATAAATAGCCTTTACTCTCGACACCCCAGACTTAATCATTTCCCAGCCAATTATTTTGGGAAAAGGTTTCATTTTGAGATGAAATTTTACGGAAAAGAAACTACAAAATCTCCCACAGAAGGTGGCGACGGAGAGTATGGGAGTAAGCATAAAGCTAGTAGAAAACAGAATTCATGGTCATCAGTAAAATAATAAGCCCGAAATGCTATTTACAGTTCGAGAACACTAGAATCAAGCAGACGCGGAAGTTTAAATATCTGGGAATCGTTTTGAGGACGGTAAGTGCGACGCTGAGATCCGTAGACGTATTGGGATGGCCAAGTAGGCATTCCAAAAGCTGGGCAGGGTATTGCGAGACAGGAGGATCTCTTTGGTAACAAAGAAAAGAATACT